GGGGGCGGGACAGGCAGCAAAAGTCTGTCCTGCAATCTGAAAAGCTTAGCTCTGAGAGTCTGCAGGCTGTTTTTCTTCACATTCATTCAACATTCACCTTCCATGATAACACCATTGCTCAGCATGTAAATTGGCTTAGAACTATCCTACAGTTTTCAAACCTCCCCAAAATACAGAAGTATTGTCAATACCTGTTGTATTTAATAGGTTTATGGTTACTCGGTTCCCAGTGATTTGATCCCACCACAGAATAGTCAATGTAGTAGCCATATAAATCCTCTTCATGTTTTGGTTTTTCCCATTGAACTACAACTGATGTTTTGGTATTCCTTGTGGCCACTACCTGACCAGGTGTAGATGGAACGACTAAGAAAAAGAAAGAAAACATATACTATTATGAAATACGCAAAAATAAAAGTAAGCTGAGGTAGATGCAACACTGTATACTTTTATCGTACTTAATCACTACCGCTGTGAGTTATCCTACCATGTTAATATTGCTATATGACATATATTTTAGTATATTTGTTTCACTATAAGTCTGGATACTTCTATATATGTGTGTACAAATATATTCATTTTTCTATTTGTTTACTTAGAGTAAACTTACTCCAAGCTATGAGGGTCCATACTTGTCTGATTTTATATAGGTTTTCTGAGGAGTGAGTTATAGGAGAACATATTTTCAAGTATCAGTGTGGATAAAGGCACACAGATATGAAAATGTTCTCTCTCAGAAGTTCTCTCTTGACTGTTCTCTCTCAAATAAGAGGTTTATGTATAGCTTATGTCCCTGTAGTAGTACTGCATCAGTAGGAAATGCACATAAACTCTAGAGGTATGATATAATGAGTATTAAGAAATAGTGCCTTCCAGTCAACTAACGGCAACCCCAATTCAGAAAAGGCCAGCTTTTCAGGACAACTTTAAGCATATGTTTGAATGCTGAGTGTTTAGCCAAACTTAGCTAGATGGATTTCACAGAAGCATAGGAACATTGGTTGGAAAGGATGTCTGGGGATTACCTAGCCCAACCTATTGCTGAGAGTGGGATTATCACCAACACTAAACTGGATTGTTAGTCACATTTTTTTCTGAGTCTTGAAAACTTCTGACAATGGAGATTTCACAGATTCCTTGAACAACCTCTTTCAGCATTGCACTCTTGCACCTTTTTCACTAAGAGAGTATGTCCAACCTGAATTTGCTAAGCTATAACTTATGGCTGTTGCCTCTTTTTTTTTTTCATCTGGCATTGCTGAGAGCAGTTCAGCACCATCCTCTTTGTAAGTCACCAAACAAAACAAGCCCAGCTACCTTCACCTCTCTTCACTGGTCACAACCTTTAGGCCCCTGGCCATCTTGGTTGCCACCCAGAGGACCTCTCCAGTTCCTCTACATCCATCCCTCTAGACTAAGGGAGCCAGAATTGGAACCAATAGTCCAGGATAACCTCAGCAGCATCAAGCAGAAGTGGATAAAGCTTCCTTCAATCTGTTGACTACAGTTCTCCCAAGGTAGCATAGTATGCAGTTCACTTTACATGCAATGAAAGTTCACTGTTGGTTTATATTGGTCTAAATACCCTGAATGTGCATAAATAAAACCAGAAACATCACGATGTAAACAGAAAAAAAATCTTAGTAAGGGCCAACACACAGTCTGTACACTATAAAATTTCTATCTGAGCTTTCACAATGTAAGGAACTAAGGCAGTGTCTCAGCCTTTCACGGTAGGTTAAGAGAGGCATCCAGCATTTGCCTGTTGAAGGTGTTTTAGCTTCCTCAGACTGATATGCTTTGGGGAACTACAAGCAGCATATAACAAAAGAAAGGCAGCATTTTTTTCACTTAGTCTTTCAATCTCAAAATAAAAAATAATACTTATACACTATTGTACTTTATGCAGTAAGTCTGTAAGATCAAATGGGTTCAGTTTGAGGTAAAGGTACCTATATTTAGGACTTTATGTGTAACTGTATACAAGTGCATGTTCTATAAGCTGCACTTATAGTCAAAGAGCTAGGGCTTAATTCAGTTACCCAAACAAATTCATTTAGGGCCATTTTAAAGTGTTTGAGACTTCTTCAAGGAGCTGCCAGATATGACTCAGGAGATACTGAATACCTGCACCCCTCTGAAGTGGCAAACTGGAAGTATTTGAAAAGGTACTAGATGTCTGCTTGGCCAATTAAACTGAGCCTCTGTTCAGTGGTTGGTAGAGTCCTGAAAATGATTCATCTCACCCCAATGTAGACACTCCATAGCTGCGTGCCATGGGGCAACTTAGGGCAACATCAGCCAATTTATCCTCCAGGCTCCAGTTGCTGCAGTGAGAGCAGAGACATCTACAGCATCTGTAGATGCCTACATGGAAACACCTAAATTTAGACGTTAATCTCAAACTGAATACTTTTTTACCACTCAATTCAATTGCATAATATTAAGTGTCATTTTGGATGGCCTAGGATACCGCATCCATCCTTAGTTTCTGCTCAAGAGAGAAAGTTACCCATAATTCCTGTGTAATGACTGCCATCCCCATGAAGTTGTCTCAGCTACCCTCAGGAATGTCAAATGGCACTACATGCAGGCAACTAAAAGGAGCCATGTGTGTCTGATGTATTATAGCTCAGGTGGTAAACTCCATCTCTGAAAATACTCCTGCAGTTTCTCTTTAAAATAGCATCTTCTGCTTTCTGCTTTCAGCTATAGCTATGATTTATTCAGAACGTCTTGTGTTAACCCCTGAGGGATAGCCTATTTTCTGTACTAAGTGAAATAAATGGAGTATTTTTCTTCCCTACCTTGGGGAATGTTGAATAGTTTAAATAATTTATATGCATTAATGAGACATCAAATCAAGAATACATAAATACAAAAGATGTTTTTATTTCATCATGAATAGTTACAGATCAAGCTAAAGGTGATGGATTATATTTTTTAAAATTATGGGAAACATTATGAAGGCTATATCTATCAACATTTAGTGAACTATGGTATATCAGATACTGTAAATATTTCTTATATTTGTAGCTAGCAAGTGTACTTGTAAGATATGTGCTCTTAAAGTGACAGCTGTCAATACACGGGACTGTTATATCTGACCTCTGTAAAACTGCAAGAACAAATCAAATATTTGAGCAACAAGATGAATAACCACTCCCTAAATTTTCACTTGTGTTTTTGAATGTGGCCCCAAGATAAACACTTCATTTTCATTTGGAAAGTCACCACTGAATATGTAGATGTATCTTCCCCTATCCTTCCTGCATGCCACAGGAATTCTACACCAGCAGTAATTTGCAACTTAGAATACTAAGAAAGAAATGAAAGGCTACCTTATCTAGCTGAAAGTGTAGGGAATTAGGTAGTATATAATTACCTGAGCCAGACAATATAATTATCTAAGTTAGCAATTAACCTGTATTATCCTATTTTTTGACAAGTCACATTAATAGAGCACTCTTGAAGAATTAATAACTAAACTTAATTTAACTTTTTAACAACTATTGGTCTCAGCAAGGAGACTTGTGATCATTAGGAAAATTTTGGAATGTTTCTAAAATTTAACATCTTGGTCTTTTTGAAATCCTTCGCAGTATTGAACACAAATTGATCCAATTACTATTACTGGATTTATACTAATCTAATTATAATGAGAGTTGTCTATTTCCATTTCATAAAATATCAATTGTATTTCACATTAATGCCTTACAGTTAATGCCTTACCAACGGTATCTTGTGGTTCAATAGGTTTTGTGATTTCAGATGGATCACTGACGCCATGCTTGTTTGCTGACAAGACTCGAAAAACATACGATTTTCCTTCTGCAAGGTCAAACACTGCATAGCGAGGAGATTTTACTGCAACCTGTGCATTGACTCTTTGCCAGCTTCCACTGCCAACCATGGACTACAGGAAAAAAAAAAAAAAGCTGTGAATCACTTCTGTTAACTGTCAGAAAATGAACATATTGCTTATTGCATCCTGTCATGAATTTATTTAAGAGCTATAAGAGAAGGATCACTCTCAAATGCCTCTCTTTAACATATGCAAATTCGCATTGCTCATGCATTCCATTACTCTACAAAAATGTCTGAATACCTCACTGTCTCCCTGCCTGTCTAGACTTCAATATATGCACACTTGCACATACAGCTAGCCTTCAGCTAGGGCCACGACTGTCAACTGTGATTGGTCCCTAAAGAATTACTCTCTTGTCCTGCAAAACTCACTTGAACACCCAAAGGTTCGCTATAAAGCAAGCAAGTCCTAATCCAAATTCTGCAGAAAGGTAGGGAGGGGGATGTTACTTTACTCACTACTTTATAATTACTTATTCTGCTGAGTAAGGTCATGTCCCTAAAAGCATTCATCGAATGAAATAATTACTTTTGAATAGTCTCAGTGCAGCAGATGAGCTAATCATCACCACAACTGCACATGGAAGAGAGCCAGCCAACCAGCACTCTGAGAGAAGTCTGCTGTCCATTAGGTTCCCCAGATAAACTGTTGACCCAAAACAAAAATTAGTCATGGAATCTTTCAGCAGTTTTAGGAAAACCCAAGTGCCCAGTAAATAGCCTAAATAAAATTTCCTTCAAGCACAGAAAGGTGCATACAAGTTAAATGTTTACAAAATTTTGGAACAGAAAGTCTGGGAACAAAACCTGATAGACTGTGAACTTCTCAGAGGAGGAACAGTGTTTCATGGGTGCTTGGAAACTACCTTGTATATAATGAGGTCTACTATAGATAAATAATAAAAATGTAAACAGCTGGCGCCCATATATCAAAATCTTTTTCATAGATACTGAACCCACCTAGTGTTTTCAACAGAAAGAAGAAACATAACATCTATTTTCTTAATAATAAAAAGATGGACAATATGAAATAAACATTATTTTGCCATATATTTTACTTTTTGGCATGAAAAACATTAATTGTTGCATTTCTTTTTCTCAGAGGAAAGAATCAAAATCACATTTTAGTCTGTAGTTTGATTTGATTTATCTGTTAATTATTTTGAGGGAACATTGCTATACAGCATACTCGTTTCTGTTTTATATTTCTTGAAGCGTTTAAAAATACATTTTTATTCTTCAGGACTGAGTCTTCTTTATTTGAAATAAATTAATTAGAAATTCTGCTTTTCCAAATTAACAGGTAACTGTGGAAAGCAAAAAACAAACATTCACCTATGAACTGACTGAGCTATTCATATATATAAGTTATTTATATGCAAAAAGATTTTAGATTCAGGTATTAATTAGTATAATGAACATTTTTTTCTAATAATAGCCTTTTAGTCCTCATTCTCACTTTCCCTCAGTAAGTCTGGCATTTAATTAAGGCTTGTTTGTTCATCATTGCCATTGCTCTATACTGTTTCTGGAGCTGTATAAAGGTATTTCCATTAAACAAGCAGATACATATATTTTCCAATTCATACGTAGAATGAAATTCAACTAACCAAGTGTAGAAAAGGAAAACATGCTGGTTTATTGCATAGAAAAAAAACCTAGATACTTATTTCTATAGAAATTTTCATTACGTCTTTTGAATGTGAAAGGCAAAGTGGGAGAAATCATGGACATGCTTGCTGGAAAATTTAACTAGTGACTGGACTTCACTTTACACCTATTGGTTCAACATCCAGCAGTCAATGGATGATGAAGAATGTAGAGATGGGCTATAAAGGTGTTTTGAAGTGGAGATTTTGATGGGACTGAGAAGGAAAAGACAAAATGGGGGCTGTGAAAAGAGGAGTGATGTGAACAGAATGATTGGCTGGGAAATGAGCTTTGGAGGAATGTGCTGAACAGATGTGAGAAGAAAAAAAATTGCATGGTAAGGGCCTGAGAAAAGGCTGTCACAATATTCAAGATGCAAATTGAATGTGTGGCAGTTTTATGGACAGTTTTAGTGTTTGTGGATCGTTAAGAGAGGGGCATATGCTAGAGGCATAATTCATAAAAACTAAGTATAGCTTTGCATGTAAGAGTTTTAGAGGTCAGGTATGTGACCAATTTACCTACCAGGGAAACTTCGTAGCAAGGAGGAAAGATTATGACCTCTGGCTGTAATCCAACACACTTAATTTAGAAACCTGGCTCCAGGACAGATCTATCTAAATCTTAGTAGCCTAGATGGGAGAAGAACAAACCGCTCCCACTGTGATGACTGAAGTCCCCTGTCAAGTCAAAGGGAAGAGAAAGGCAGCCATGAAGACTACCAGGGAGCAGTGAACCTGAGATAGGCATGTGCTTCTCCGCTGACCTTACAGGGAATAAATTGGAAATGTCAGGGTATAGCAGAGGGTGCTGTAAGCCTGCGAAAAGGAAAGTGAGGATGAAATTATGAGTCACTGTTTATTCCTTGCTCTACCACAGGACAACCAGAAACGTGCCTTTAACACAGGCAGAGTGCAAACTTCCAGTCTTGCCTGTAGGATTGTGAAATCTTAAGATGGTTCTTTTCCATTAAACCGCTACCTTACACGTGTAGTTTTGTTCTCATTTTAGACAGTGGTAAGCAAATAGCACAGGGGCATCCTTTTCCCTGGACCTTGAATTTCAATGCTCATTAAACCATGTAATAAGACATTTGATTGTCCATGATTCTCTAATACCCCATTACCAAATCCTGCGAGACCACAAAAAGTGTTAGATTTAGTGTTCATTCTGTAGTTCTAAAAATGAATTGAATGTAGTTGCACTCAGCAATGAAACACCTTACAGCTGAATGCCACTGAATGCCAGGACGGTACCTTCTCAATGAAATACGTCAGTGGCTCCCTGCCACGGGGAACAGGTGGATCCCAGCTGAGTACAACATATGTTTTGCTGATTTCTGAAGCATGTACATTGGTGGGAGGGCCTGGAATCTGAATATCGCCTAGAAGAGTAATAAACGTAGTGAGTGTTAAACAGCAGATTAACTCCTGGGTCAGCACTCATGCTACAGCTCATCTTTCTGAACTCCAACCCTGCAGTGCAATGCTCAGCTATTAGGGGCTACAATATCATCCATGCAGTTCACTTGCTCACTTCAATTAAATTTTGAGAAATAAAGCATCAGTATTAAAAGCTAGTTATTTACTTTTTCAGTAAAAGTTAAATATGCCTCCTGAAAACCTGTGCATTTGTCACACCTTTTTGATTCGATCACATTTGAATTACTTCTATCTGCTGGGCAGGATGCCTTGGAAAAAAACTACTCACCATATGCAAACAAGAGATATTTTTTGATCAAAGACAGAAGTCTAAAGAGTTATTACCAGAAATTAGACTAGAAGAAGATATCTGGAAGGGAAATATAGTAAGGAGAAAAGCAGCTTAAAACAAAGTGAAAAGCAGAATAAGAAGCAGAACTTATCAGCAATGTAACCTGTAATGTGATGGTATTACCAGCCGTATAGTCTAAAGCACTTCTAAAAACTGTGGATCAGAGACATAAAACTATGTCACCAGCCCTCTGGTGACTCCACCAGTTGGTGTGGCCTGATCAAACCCCTCTCCCCACTCACTCTGCAGGGTTATCAGGCACATGAGGCAGGACCAGTGTACCCTGGGCCAGGCTGGAGGAATTCATTGTGGCCCTCTGTGGTCACGTTCACACACCGCAGTGTGAGAAGAAGCCAGTTTTGCTATCAGAGGAATTACAATGGTGTAAAACAGCACTAGATAGGAGAGGCTCAGACCTATGATGGACCACTTCAGGCACAGCTACACAGCCCTGAAGAAGGTTCTTCTTGGTAATAGGTCAGAAATAGCAACTTGGAAGATACCTACAAATATTTTATTTTTATGGCTTGCAATAAAGAAAGCAAAAAGTTTTGTTCTTTTAAGGTACATTTTGCCACTTCTCAGGCTAGCAAGGATCATTTATCTTCTAAATGCTCAGGATTTGACATTAAAAAAGAGAAAAATGTTTCAATAATAATCTGTAAATCATGGAAGTGATGTTTTAACAGTTTATAAACATCTGTAGAACCAACCAGGCTCAAAATGTACACTGAAGTTATTTCATTGTACACATTTCCCAATCAAAACCAGACTTTTTTTAAAGCAAACTGACATATCCACAGAAAATTTATGTTCTCTCAATGTTCTCTCTATTTGATTTCCTACAAATATACTTTTTCTTTAATAAAGGCACATGAATCAACTAAGTTTAAGAGAAAATTGCTGACATAGTCAAGAAAATTACAATAATCCTTCACAGCATAATGCATAAAGTCAAAAGGTTTCCAATTGGTTTCACATAACTAAATCTCAACATGTTTTCTTACATCCTTGAAAACCCCAAAGCTGATGTAATTTGTAATGATATAACATGATGGTACAGCCTACTCTCCCAGAATGGAAGGTCATCTGGCACTAAAAAGGAAATCCATTTGTGATCTATGAGATCACTTTTTCAGAAATGGTCTCCAATCTTGCAGATTAAAGTAATGATCTATATAAAAAATGGTATTTGGATATTCATACACCTTTATTAAATATGCATATTCATGTAACAGAAATCCAAATACCATTTTTCATGCTTATGCCAGTGGCCATTTAATGCCTCTAATCATTCTCAGACAATCTTGAGAGCAGGAGTATGTTCTGTGAAGCCAAACAAGGCAAATGTATTCTGATCCTATAATACACATATCAATTCATTTAGGGTACCATTGTAAAAATAGAGAAACTTCATCTGTCCTGCCCATGCACTGGGGAAACCATTTAATGTCTGATTTTCCCTCAAACTACACCTGTTCTCATGAAGAGAGTGAGAGTTACAGCTTATAACCTTTGGTGAAAGAGAGTAGACAGAAAATTGTTTTACTACTAAATATTTTTGACATTTTAAGTGAAAAGAAGATCATTATCCAAGCCTAAAAAAAAAATAAAAATCTACACATACAGAAACAACCAAAGACAGAAGAAATTCAGGCTTTATCTCAAAAGTTGTCAGTAATCTCTCCAGTTCTCCTGAGGAAAAGCAATATTTAGTGTATAAACTTAACCTTAAGAATAATCTCTCTATTCAGATAGATATATTAATTAAAGAATTGGGATGGATTGAATAAGTTTTTATGAAAATGGAAATAACTTGCTCATATCGTCTAATTCAGTCTAAAAAAAGCTGTATTTATTCCTCCCAGAAGGACAGGAGGAAGGGAAATGTGGGCAATCAAATGCAATGTTCAGCTGTTTAAACTCAGCTTAGAACTAGCCAAAGCAAAAAGTTGAGGAGATGCTGTCAGTACATAATGAAAGTAGTGCTGTTGAGAGGGTGTTGTTCTCTGTCCTTCAGACCACACCTTTCATTTGTGTTCTCTCAGCCTTGCAAGCCAGAATATCTCTATTTATTATTACAAAAAGTTTACTCACTAGGTGGATTTCTTTTCAAGCTATGTTTCTAATTATAATGCTAGATTCCTGGACTATAAACAGATGGACTGAAATCATAGAAATGCTACATACCTTCAAGGTCATCCTTACTGAGAATAATCTTTCGCCCTTCATCCACATGAATAGCTGTTAATCAAAATATTCAATTAATTTCTTGAACCAGTTTAATGTATTTACAAACTTTGCAAATTATTGTTCATCACCTGTTCAAAAGCCCGTATACTTCCATTTCTATAACTCTTTTATTAAATCTTTCCCCAGATGGAGTCAACACAGTCATACACTAGTTCATTCACTTTCATAGGAAAACAGAGCGTGATAAGACAGTACTATTTAAAGATGTGCTAAAAAGCAGGAATCATAGTCACAGCAGATGGATTCAATTCTGTGGCAGATTAGTAAACAATTGTATCATGAACTGGCCTTTTGTTATAGGAATTAATCATAAAGCTAATGGAAACACAGCATATTCAACTCGGACTTTACAAGCAACATTGGGGCAGTGCTCTGCAGTCTTCATAATGAGTTTAATTCCCCTCTGAGTAAAAGGAGCACATAAACCAGAAGATGTGCAAGTACACGATATATGGAATCTGTACAGGGGTTTAGGACAAGGCTAAATCAATAAAACTACTCCCCAGAGCAAGCCAGCTTACTCTTTTAATGGAGAAACTCTCATAAGGCTTCTTTGCAGTCTGCAGTGGCCTTGAGCACAAGACCAGCTTTCAGAAAGAACTTGTTCATTAAATAGATTGACTTTTTCCACCTGCCAGAAAAGCCATAATATCAGAGACCCCCCGACCTGTAGCATAGGGGCTTTGTGCCAGTACTGGTGCTTCACTGAGGAAAAAAGATGCGGATAAATACAACAGTCTATGAGCCAGTGAATTTGCATGACAATTTTTACTTTTTCTTTAACTAAAACAGACATATTCAATAGCTTTTTCAGAAGTTACTACCAGCAAATGTAGACGTTTATGATGATCTGAGGGCCTATCTCCCAATACAAATGATACAAGCTTCCAGGGCATAGCTTTTTTGAAAATATTGCTCCTTGTGATAATGAGTGTCCATATTTAAAGCTAAGCAAAACCAGCCAGAATTGAGACGGAGTCCCAAGGTCCTGCCAAGTTGTCTGTATGGACTTTGCCATTCCAGCTACATTCCCCACCATGAAATTAGTGAGATATTCAATCAAAGGAAGAAATAAACTCAGGTCCTTAGGTTAACTAAGCAAACAGAAACTTAAAAAAAAAAAAAAATTCAAATATTCAACATCTGTTTCAACCTTGCATAACCTACTTTGTGTTCTCTCCAGGTCAACAGGGTCAAGAGCTGCAACGGGTTCAGAGACTCGAGAAGGCCTGCTAATGCCAGCACTGTTCACTGCTCTCACACGGAATATGTAAGACCGTCCTTCCTGAAGACCAGTCACAGGATACTTGCAGATTTTTACAGGAGCGTCATTGCACTGGACCCAGTTTTCCAAACCTACTTCACATCTTGGAGTAGCAGAAGACAGCATTTATCAGTATCATCCCACAATAAATATATACGATCCTACACACACCAAGTCAGAATCACAGAAGTCATCCTCACTAAGTTTAGGAACTAAACCATACACCTTTTAATGAAAATCACACACTTTATACACTCTTTCCTCTGATCAGACGACCAATTCCCACCTTGCTCATATTTATTCATAATGTAATTGCAAAGGTCATTTTTCTTGCATGGTTTTTGGCCTTTCCAACTCTCTGTTCCACTTCCATTTGGTTCTCTTCCTTGTCATATAAAGAACAAGTTATTCACTTTTATTTTTAACACACATCTCCACAGAACATGCTGAAATTGCAACATTCACCTAATCTTTTCCATCTCTTTCTTGTCATATTTTTAAGCAAGCATCTTTGTGTGTTTCCCTCCAACAATGGTTGTGCCACAGAGTGTAGAAGTCATCAAGAAGCAGAGTCATGACCTCATACTGGCTCCTTTGTATGTATATATCTGTTTTGTGTCCTACTATGATAAACTTTTGTGGGGAAGACTGCCTTTTGCCCTGACAGTATCAGGAAAAACAGGGTCATGATCAAGGGCTCCTTGGCACTGCAGTAATCCAAGCAAAATGTCAAAAGGCACAGCTGACTAGATTATACACAAAATAGGTGAAATACTCCCATGATCTATGCACTGTGCAAATTGGATATAAATGGTAGAGTCCCCAGGGCTTAAGTTAAATTTCCTCATACTGACTGCCATTCATAAGTCAACATTTTCCAGCAATTCCCAGACAGTTGTCACTGAACTCAACCAAATTACAGGATAGCAAATAGCAATGAGCTGCAAATGTTGCTTTTAAGTGTAGAGCAGTATACATTATGAGATAATTTCAGTAATGTTTCTGCTGACTGACAGTTTCAGACACTAAGGATCAGATGTTCTGCTCTGGCTACAAGGGGCAAGCATGCACTTCAGTGGAAGAGACATGCAAAACAGCACTTGGATCCCCTGTTCCCCAGCTGCCTGCACTGAGCTGAAACCCCAAAGTGCAAAGCAGACTGGAGGAGAGAGGACTGCCATTCTGATTTAAACTACCAGCTCCTGGGAGCCCATGCCTTGAGCTCCTGGTGTACCACAGTTAAGGCAGAAATAAAAAGATAATGTAATAACTCCAAGATTTCAGCTTTTGCAGTATACAGATTAAAGAGACTAAATCTAATTCAAGATGCCCATGGATTCTGGCTTCTATAAATTAAATATTGCCAGGGCTCATTCTCTGATTTGGCCACATCCATACTATTGAACACTTTTAGTGTCTGATAAAATGTGGCTGCCTGCAAATGATTACTGGGAATGGCCCCTAGCCCTTGCTAACTCCCAGACTGTGGCCAGAATTGCCTGGGAAGGCACTAGATCGTCTGGGCTAAAAGTTTGCCAGGGAACAATCTAGTAATTTAATGCAATAGGCAACCGAGTTCCAGTGCCACGGGCCTGTAAAAATATATCTAAAGAACCCACGTATTGAAGAATATAATGCCAATTTTTTTTCTTCAGTATATATATGTTTTTGACAATGAACAAAATTTTTAAAATCCCAATGTTTACATACTTGTCAACAAAATATCCAATGACTGGGCTCTCACTGGTTGTATTTGGTGGTTTCCAGGTAACAATAACATAGTCTCTGTTAGCATCATGGCATTTAACATCCATCGGTGCCCCTGGTGCTCCTGCGATCAATGCATCAGCATCTGGGCCACAAACAAAAATAAATCAGTTTTGACCCTGACTCCTCTGAAATCTATCACAAAGACAAATGGGAAGATTTCCAGTTCACTGTGCTATTTGTTTATATGAATGGGAGCCCAAAGATTTCATTACATGCTAATTCACTGCACTAACGAATAGGCCCACAGTGTCTATATCTCCACATAGGTAAAAATGCTCAGGGACTTTTTTGAGGACAGAAAAGCAGTTTAGGCATCAAACACCTATTACTTTTCATGAGAATTAAAAGACTAACTACCCCATGTGTTTTTGATGCTCTTTCCTACCGAAAGCTGTGGGTTACTGATCAGACCAAGGTAGTCAATAAAGAAAATGTAGCTGAGGAAAATAAATCTCTTAAGGAATAAAAAATATGCAAAGTCCTGGTACATTTCTAAGCCTACTTTTTATTTATAGTCTTACAATAACAACAGGCATATGTAATCAATGTTCCACCATTAAGATACCCTTACATGGCTTCATTTGGGGAGGTGTTGACTGATGTGGACCCACAACTCCTAAGGAAGTCTTCTAACATGTGAAGTTCCCTCCCTCTTTCTATAACACAAAAACACCCTGTGTATAGTCTAAATTTATAGAGTCTAATCACAGTCAGTTGTGAGGTGGCTGGTGCTCAGTATCAGACCACAGCCTACATGAAGAAAAGCAAGAGGAACGCCAACAGAGGACACTAGAGACTCCAGAAGACACAGCGCAAGTCCAGGGTCCTGTGCATTCAAAGGGATCAAACATAGTATAAAATGGATAATAGAAGTACCTAAAATTGACCCACCACTACAATAAAAACTTCTGGGAAACTTATTATATAGTGGGCCTTTTTCACCTGGGTACTTTCATTCTTAGAAGGTAATTGGGAAATAGCTTTAGCAAATTGTTTCCAATGAGATCAGAGTGATAGAGTGGCTTGTTCAGGACATATTGCAAAGCTGATGAAGTCCTTGCACTAGTCCTGTGAGGAAGATGGATCTCAGCCCCCCGAAAAAACATTCATGTCCCTCCACCCCACACAAACTGTCTGGATGACACTTCTGCAAGACACGTATATTCCAATACATTTCCAAGAAGAACAAAGTTTAAAATTAATACAGCTCCAATGGCTTCAGTGGGGCTGCTCCAGTTTGCCACCATCAAGGGTGTTGTCCAATGTATTTAGGAAAGTGAAAGAACTGCTTAGCCAGAGATATTTTCACCTTTCAACAAAAAAATAAAAAAGTGAAAATTAAGTTCTGCTCACAGGTGCATGTGAAAGCTCATTCTCACTTCACTGAGAGTTGTGGATGCAAATGTAAAGGAAAATTCTGACCTTTATTCTATTACAATACATTTACCTCCTTTTATCTATGTCCCTTGTGAAAACTGTATTTCTTCAGTGAGCTAATTTCTTACTTTGCTTCTTTTCTCTGATTATTGAGATGACTGTGACTGGTATAGCGGTGGGAATATTTCTTTTGCTTTCTCCTGTGCCTCTTCCTAAGGCCAGGCACAGGATATGAGAATGCCCAGCAAGGCTCATTCCCAGTTGGCAATCACTAAAGCTAAAACCATCACAGTGAGGACTGGTAGTATGCAGAGATGTTTGTTTCCTACTGGGAAAGGAGACGGCAAAGGAACAAGCTGTTTCTTCACAAGAATGATTTCTCTGGTTCTTCAGGAAAGAAAATGTCCTCAGGAGCATGCTCCTCTTGAAGCTCCCCATTCATCTAAGGTGACTGTTTTTTCTAGCACAGACTACTATATAAATCAAATTATTATGAAATACCACAAGTATGGATTTCTTTTGTACTTCAGTTATTACATGGGATTGTTTAATAAAGCTAATCTTTCTACTACTTTTTTTAATTTCTCCTCAAGAAACAGATGAAAAGTTTACCTCTGACAAACAGGTATGCACTGTATTCGCTCACTCCACCTTTTGTAACCATCCGCAGGGTGTATAAACCTTCATCATCTTTGTTCAGATGGGTAAAGGAAAGAGCTGCCTGGCCCTCTCCAAAATACAGCTTCGTCCACTTGGAGTCCTTTATCAGCACATCTGGAAGAGAAGACCCATCAGACACATTACTATGCTGGTCAGAACAACCTACATCCTAGTACAGTTCTGTGCTAATCAGGGGCACAAGCTAACCTTTATGCCAGCTTTATTCGGAGTGACGGTGCTTTGATGCTATGAAAACTCTACAGAGAGTAAGCTGCGTCTCTCTAAACTTATTTGATCAGTGAATTTTAGAGAACATGAGGTCTCAGACTACCCTATGCAGTGCCAACAACAGAATTTCCATCACTATAATTTTTAATACACTGACCGAGAAAAATATTATCCACATTTTGAAACAATGACATGAAAACCTGCCATACCCTGTAATGAATGCAGGGTGGAACTTTGTTTCATTTTTAATAAGTTTTGCTACCCATTCAGGTCAAATGTCAGGTTACTCAATTTCTTCCTCCAACTTTCAAGACCAGATTTCAGTTTAATCTGAAGATTGCTATAAATATACACCAAATTTAAATCTTCAAGGCATGCCTGTTGAGTAGTGAATAAAATTAAATTTGAATCTCTCAGAGGTGAGAGGTGGTGACCCATGATTAATGCAAATTAATCTGATTGCTTAGTGAAACCAGAGCAAAAGAATGAGCAGGATATTTTATGCTAGCCAAGGAACTTTCTCATATCACCTTTTTTAATAATTGATTGGATTATTTTTTATTTTTAACTCCCTAAGACTTATTGCATACTAATTTATTGTAATTAATGCAGCAGAACAGTATTTAAAGGAGCTGAATATCTATAAATGTTTATTATTCTATTGCTTAAATACACTTTGGAGCAGACACTCAAACAATTGCAAAGGAATCAGTTTTCCCACCTACCAGCTGTATTGCTTAAGAAGGTATACAAAAAATGACACATATTCAGATAATAAAGCAGCTGGAAGACACACACTACTAAAACTTACAGCAGTAAATTACATAATCACCGAAGCATACAGTTGTTTTCTGAGAAGTATACAGAGTAAATTATGTCACAGTCCTTCCCATGAGGTCCTTAATCATGAGATCCTTATCTAGAATATCTGCATGTCCCCTTTCTGTCATGCATGCCACAATGGTACTGAGACTTTGTGTAGAGAGACGTGAAGTACTTTAACTGAAATCAGAAAATATCTTCACCTAGAAATTTTAACCAATACATGAGTTCTGTGGAAAATCCTGAAGAAAAAACAAAGTTGAGTGACCAGCACCTCTGAAAAGCAGGTCACTTATTTAGACTCCAAGCTTGAGTGGAATGGTAGACACTCTAGTTAGAATATACAGAAACTGTAGGGAAGCTTGTACTGTCTGTGAAGGCCAGAATCATCCATTTCCACCCTTTATGTGTACCTGGGACTGGAAACTGTGGAGGCAGTTGTCTTTAGTAAGAGCAGAAAAACTTCTCTCCTTCACACAAGGCCAAAGACCCACCAGATCTCCTAAGAAAGCAGCAGCTCTCTTTTTTAATGCAGTCTGGATGGATGACTTTCTAGATAAGCCAAGAAGAAGAGTAAATTTTGGAGGACACAAACATATTCCGAAGTTCTAATAGAGCAGGTATTCATGCACCTGCTGTCACAATAATAGTACAGTTACAGGGTCTTACTACTGCACTCAAATTCTCAGTCTATTCACGTGTTCTGCTCTGTTACTTCTCCCAGGATTTATCAAAGAACAAACCTACAGGAGACTAACCCTCCAAGGCAGTGTGACTCAAGACTCACATGCTGTTTTCAGTACATGGGATAATTTTCCTAAAACATTACTCCGCTGAAAACTCATATAAAGAGTGGAGAATTACTATATACTGAAGCTTCTTTTCATTGTGTATTTTGGTCTGCTGAAGTTTCAGCTAAATTCTGCACTCCATGATTTTTTCCTCTGAATTCAATTATTTTATTCTAGATTACAGTACAAATGGCTGCAGAATGCTGGTGCATATAGCTTTATAATGTTTATATTACATCAGAGATCAGTAACAGAAAGCTTCTATTACCAGCTGAACTCATATCCAGGTTAGATATATGTTCCTGAACTATTATTTTGATTTAGTTCTTTTAGTATCTTAAATTGTTCTAAGTGGGCCCTGAATTATAGATATCATATTCATGTTTGTCAGATCCCAAACCACTTTAAAGGATTTAATTCAGTTGACTTATATGCCCCTAGGAGTTTAGGAGACATCCTCAATAAGGTTCACTCGCGTGAAGCTTATTAATGCTGGATAAAGAGATATTTCTCTTGTGTATAATTATTAGAAGTAAATCATAAGTATCCACGTATCCATCTCAGGGCTTCAGTTGTGATATTATTTGATTAACACAAACCAAAAAATTTTAGGTAAAATACAGTTTGTCTTAATGCAAGAGTAGAATTAAGTATTACCTCTCAAAAAAACCCAGAACATCTAAAGCACATGATGTTGAACAAATTATTAACCTTCTCATTGTTTACATTTATGCATTGCCTCCAGCTCTCACGAGACTCAACACAGGGAACTGTAGCACATAGCAAAGGTTCACAGTGCATGAATTCCTGTTGTGTTTGGGAACAAGTTCTGCCAGTTGATGGACCTGTACACCTCTTGGAAATATTGTGATCTATGTACGTGCAATGAAGGACAAATCTAAGCTTGTTTGTATCATATTATTTCCTGCAACATAAGTAGAATAATGGGATGAAAGCCTATCTGACTCACTGCAAAAACCTATTGGGTTTAAAGAGACCAAGTTTTCATCTCAGGCTTTCACACGGAAGCTAAACATAAGTCAAATAAGGGGGAAAACAAAGAGCATAATATTGTTACATATCAAGAGGGAATTATCTTGGCATTATGAAGGGTTAAACTGAAAGGTCCATAAGCTTTTGTACACCTGTCCATAGTGCAAGAAAAAATCATGTTGAATGAAAAGTAGAACAATATGGGGCATCCCTTGAAAATTAGCAGTTTCTTCACAACTGTAGTTCCAAACCCAAAATTTCAGAGGTTTGGCACCTTGAGAAACTGGGCCCAGTAGGAGACAAAGTAATTGTACCATTGAAACTGATGGCTCACCTCAGACTGAGGTGAGCTATTATTTATAACGATTAAAAATCCCTGTACACTTCAGTGGGAACAGAATCTGGGTCCAAGGATGAGCCTTAGATTTTAGGTTATTCACCAAACAAAAAAAAGCCATTTTTATTATTTCATAATTTTTGTTTTAGTAACATCTAATATTCCATCACAATGAAGTATCCACCGTGACAGAGAAATAGTAATGAAACAGTAAGTAGCCATCCTTCCCCTGAAGGATCAGATGCAAATCTATGTAAAATAATGACATACATGAAATAAATGCATAATTAGCAGCAGTAAAAGTATCCTTCTTGTGATTTTCCTAACCTTGAATTTTCTTGACTGCCCTATTAATCTTACTGTCATATCTTAGTTTATGCATCACGTTTTGTCAGCTATGGAAATTTCTGCCAGCTTGCCTGGGACCAGTCCAAAATCAGTCTTGGGAGTCCACCATTCTCAAATGTGGTCCTTCTGGGGAAAGGTCTCACCATTCACAAATAAGCAAGGCTTTCCTTAAATCCACAAGCAGAATATTTACTTTAAAATCCTACACAGAGATTGTGCTTGGCGAAAAGTGATGAGCTAAATATCTAGACCGGCCTGCTATCTGTTAAACTTCAAGTAGTTAATTTTGTTTCTAGACCTTTTTTTGGTGTGGTGAACAAACACGACTCATGCAGGGTTTGTGTACCATCCACCCGAGTATATGACGTGCTTCAGCAATGCTATTTTCAGTACTTCCCGCTAAGACCGCTTCACTTGGCATAGCATAGTTTTTCATTGACAAAAGGTGGAAGGAAAGAAACCTACCAATATGACACTTAAACAGCAGAGCAGAGGCATGTGTTTCAGGCCTGGCTCCTAGAAGTATTTCTGAACTATACATTAAATTGATTCTAATATGAAATTCACAATAAATACTGGAGCAAGATGGAAGTGGAGGCCCACACCCACACTTCAGTGCTCCAAACTTTAATTTAGTGCTCTGTGAGTACCCAGTGGTCACAGCATGCAATTATAAATCATGGTCAAATCTAGGAAGTGAGTTTGGATCTCCCCCTAGTCAGCAAATGCTCTAACTATTGTGTTATTAGATAATATGAGATTACTTCCTGTTGCTGTAAATGTGTGCTCAAGAAAAGGTTGACCAAGTCACTTAATTGAAAGAGAGTGCAGGTCTATAAATTCTAACTAGAGATATTTGTTTGCTCTATTCCAAATTTAATTCTGAGAATCTCATGTTCTAAGCCTGATCTGTGTCCTCAATGTGTCCTCTAGCATTTTCCAGGTAGCTCCTATTCAATGTACTGACTTACCATCTCTATACCACTCAGCACGAGGTCGTAGTCTTTTCAGGTCTGGGGTGACCAACATAGAACACTTCAGGGTCAGTGTTTCACCTTCAGTTGCAAAGGTGACTCCAAACTTCTCCAGAAACTGGACATCAATGTGGGTGAAGCAAACATCATATGACAGGGGCACTATGTATGAGAAAATGAAAACATTTTTGAGCGTAAGTAAATGGTACTTGGCACAGATTACTGTGATCTGAACAGGAGATGGAGCTCTGTTATACTGTATGCTGATCTAGAAATGCAACTGGGAAAGCAAAAGCATCTGGACAGCTCCTATTGTTACTAAATGCTTAGAAAGCAAAGCCAGAAGCAGCAAGTTGTATCTAATTTTCTCATCTGTAAAATATTACTCTGATAAAAGTACATAAACTAAGCAAAAAGAAAAAAATGCTTACAGTGGAAGGGCATTATCCCAGCTGGGTGGGGCTCTTCACCATCTCTGAACCCTATAAATAAACACACAATAAGCATTCAATGACATGAGCATTATATTTATTTCTTGTTTGGATCATAAAGTAGGACTTACTTCGCACAATCACAGCGCAATTAGTTGATGCCTGCCCATGGGCATTTGTTGCAACTGCTGAATAGGTAGCAGAATCATCAAAATTAGCTCTGAAAAGGGGAAGGAGGAAAACAGGTGACTTTTTATGCAAATACAAATTCTCTTAATGATTGATATTACAAAGCAAGCTACTTCAACCCCCAGGAAAGTGTATGAAGTTCTTTCCTGGTGTCGCACAGTGCAAGACTATGAAAGACAATCAGAAAGCTGGTACTGTTTTTTACTGCAGTTCTATCACAGCTTAATGCGCAGGCTGCACTAACTTGAGCACACTGGAGATGACCTTCAGAGAATGATCAAAAGGAGATAGCTGCAGGATGCCAGTCTGGCTATTCCCTTTCTGTATGTAACCTTCTTCCTTAATCTGTCTTGCCCTTCTGCCACATATTTTAACAAAGAGACATGGCAGAAAAGTACATGAGACACTTGCAGAAATTCCTCCTTCTATAACTATTCCCAGCAGGCAGATATCGGCATTTTTTGCCTCTCTCATATCTCTTAGGCAGTCCAGAGGAAATTGTACAAAACCAGGGAAACAAACCAAAATTGTTTATTGGCATAAATGTTTTGGCTTGATATATTTTTTAGTGAGAGAAGATATTTATTAAGCAAGGGCAATATTATGAAAAATAAAGCAAAAAACAGTTACTTCATGTAAAATAGGACCCAGTGATGGATTGTCTTACTACATCCTTCCTTGAAGAGGAAGTTACATTAGCAGATATATGGCCAGATGTTAAGATATAGGTACAAACTTTGATGTCTCAATTCTTTTCTTATTTAAAATGGGGTCAGTCAGCAGAAAACTATTGACATAAAATTGAAGTAAAGGAAAGGAAACTAAATTATGTGCAAATACACTTTTTTGGTGCAATTACTCAAATTTACAGTTGAAATAAACTTGTTTGCTAAGTTTCTAATAATTATAAATATAAGTGACTACTTACTAGAAAAAGTTAAAAATATTTTGGACTAGTTTTTGGTAAAATGCAGATTTGGGTAGAATGAGATTTCCTCAATTTTGCTGAAAGAACTTAGTCCTGATGGAGAAACAATTTCAAAAAAGGTAGAATATTTCATTTTTATGTTTCAGAATGAATATTTTAAATAAAAATTTTATTTCGGAATTTACTTCTGCTTTGTTTTCCAAAACATACTAAATGGTCTAATATGAAATAAAACATTTTGGCTTTGAATGAACAAAACTTTTTATTTGGCCCAATTCAATATTATTTTCTTGAACTTTGCCATTAGTCAAGTATTCTACAAGATGTCTGTCAAACAAAACTGTTGATTTTTTTTTTTATTTCTTGGCATTTCTATTAGGTTGAACCATCAGCTAATCAGAGTGCTGTCTGAAACACACACAATTAAAACCTGCTTCTGTGTAGTTCATTTAGTAGTGCATTTAATGCAGGTCACTCAGAAATTTCCAGTGATGAGATAGAATGTTCTGCATGCATGCATGCATGCACTTAGTTTCCTCTCAGAAGGATAAATTTGTATTTTCTTGGCAACTGCCAGATGAAAGGGATGAAATTCTGGTTGCACTTGTCTTCTAACAGGTCATATATCCCAGGTGCAGGAGAAGAAAGAATATGTAAAAGTGTTTGATGTAAATTGCATAACAGAATGCCAATTTTGGGAGTATGTAGCACTGTGACAGGCACATCAGACACCTATTTTTCAGCCCTTGCATATATTCTGGACAGTGTCGTATCACAAAAATCATACTATCTGTACTGTGATGTCTAAAACACAACTTGATGAAAGCTCTATTAAATTGAGATTTAACTCTCTAATCTAACAGCTCCTCCTGGAGGCAACTCTTCAGCCACACATTGCACAAAATAAAGCAGTAAAATACAAAGTTTATCATACAATTCATTATCAAAGACAGAGAGGTAAGTCCTAAGATTAGGCCACAACCAAAAAGCCTGTGGTTGGGTATGAAGCCCTTAAGTGCCCTACTACAGTCTGGACAGGCAAAGTAAGTCTGAAAAACAATTTAAAACAATTGAAATACTAGGGTCGATATTATTCAATGTTTTTTTTTTGTTTTCAGGAAGGATTCAAAAAAATGCCAATACCTGTTCACAGATCTATATAAAGCTTAACCGATTCTGGACTTGCTTGAAAGCTGTCAGACTTGACTACATCTCTTTGCACTAACTTCTTAAAAGAAGAACATTTTTTTTTACTATCCCAGTTTCACACTGTTTAACACTTGGGTGATAAAATGCCAAAAGCAAGGTAAAACTGCAGTGCAGGCTTTTTTCCTAAGTCATGTTATAATGTCTCTATACTGAAATGTACATAGTTCATACACTTACCACAGCCCAGTACAGTGTCTTGCCACGATGAAACAAGCTAACAATAAATGAGGCATCTCAAAAATGTCTTACAAGAAGGGGCATTGCAGAATTAACTGTACTGGAACTGTAAGGTGTTCTTGTCACTCTGCGCTACATCCCTACTTTAAGGAGATATATATAGAATATACAGTAAATAGTACATAGTATATTTAATAACCTATATTACATATTAATAAATTAAAGAGTGTTAGATCATTTGTCCCCAGAAACTGGATCTTGATCACTCTAGTGCTGATGTGCTAGAACAGCCCTTGGCACGCCTTGGTGTGCACGAGCTCACCAAAGGGATTCCCAGACACGGCTCAGGAGATGGTAAGGACCATCTCCAGAAAACCATCTGGACACCCTGACAGCCCTGTCCTGAAGGACAAGAGGATTAGTCTACCCCATGCCAGGAGGCCACTGTGGCAGAGGGCATCTTTAATTTGCTATGTCAGGGAGAGTCCAGGAGTGCAGCTCCCGGGCACTGGTGGCAGGTAAATGCCATAGTGTACCCTGCAGGCCTTGTCCCCACATACGTGCCCCATAAAGGCTTCCTGCCCTCCAGCCCGTAATCCAGGCCACTCACCATCCTGCCCAAAGACCTACGCAGGGGCACAGTGTCTTCCTACCACCTACGTGTCCAGCCTTCTCCTGGGTGAGCCAGACCCTCCAGGAGGACGGTGCACACTTACACCTGGCAGGCCACGTGCTGGGGGAGCCATGCTGTGTTTGCTGATGAGGTGCGGATCCATCCTTGGGCTGGACATGATTGAGACAGCATACAGCACTTATAACTGAGTGATGAACACTACCCCATCATTGCTGTATTAGGCCATTCCCTCACATAAACAAAGCATTACTTCAGGCTGCTTTGCTTCTGTCAGATCAAACTTAGCTGCTCTTTAACATTTCATTGTTGTTAGAGTGTTAACAACAAGGATAAAATATCGGTATATCTTAACTGAGGTTAACTCTGATTAACTATCACTTTGAAGTAGTCATCATCTGCTCTCAGTGTTGGCTTCATTTTCCAGCAAAACAACAGATAAAATAGTCAATAGGAACTCATTTCTGTAAGAATTACACAGGATTCAGGATCTAAAGAGTGAATTATCATTAACCACAAGGTGGCGTAAAAATAATCCAGAAAAATACAGAAACGTGTATTCAGAACAAATGCGAAGCCCCAGTCTGTGCTAGACCACTGAAAGCATCAGAAATTTAGAGGTGTACAAACTGCAAAGTTTTCTCCCTAAAAAGAAGTAGAATGACAGATGCCTGATTAACTTTTCAAATGGATGTATATCTGTGCTCATCTCAATCCCCTCCCTATAGTTTTGCTCACATAAGGAACAGCAAAATACATCTCTTGATGAGATTTTCCTGGTTTTGATAGACTCCAAGGTAGAGAAAACAGAGTATGATCCTAAAAGTCTCTAGAACAGACAGGAGATTCACAAAAGGGTTGTTTCTTTAGCCCAAGAAGCTCAATATCTGAAAGCAACTATTTGACAAAAGTTAGTGATGGAATGATAGTTCATTTTCTCAGAGAGAACAAAAGAAAGATGTTACTGACCAAATGACTGACCCCACTCTCACAACAACCTTTGGTTTTATGAAGAGAAACAAGGTACTTACAGTTGTTATGAACATACAGGTAACAATTCCCCAGGCCAGGCACTTTCTGCTATTTAAGAGGTCCTAACAACTCTATCCGTTTTCTGGAGGTCACTGCTTTGAAAGCATTTTACAATTCGTTGCTATATTCTCTAACCTGATGCAACCATTAAACCGTCTTAGATAGCCCAGTACTCAGTGGAATGCCTTCAAATCTGATATCGGAAGTGTATGGAGTTAGTGGGTAAGAGCTACACAGCAGATTTGTTTAATACCCACTCTGAAGAAAGTTGGACAGGATGGCAAGTCCCATAAGGTCCTGACTCTCCTTTCATGCCACATAATGCTCAGACTGAGGATTATCCTGGAAACTATCTACTTCCCTGTATGCTAAAACCCCTAGGTTTCCTAAATTGCACTGTAAAGGGCATTGAGTCAACAGCAGTTAGAAACAATATTTGAAGGACCCAGGAGGCGAGGTGTGGTCTCTCTAGCAGTTATTCTTGCATCACAATGGGGAATGTGTTTTCCAACCTTTACAAAGGTCAGATAAAATATGCATAGAGTACATTTAGATAGCATGAAGTTTGAGTGCAGAGCTGTATCTGTCCCAAGGTACTAATACTTCTTGTGAAAATTAAATTGCCCTGAATCCACATGAGGTTCTGAAGTGCTAATGTTTGTGCGGTGAATATTCCCCAGGCAGATACATCTGTTTAAAATGCATATATTCATCCATCTGCCTAGTGTAGATTTAAACACAGGAGTTAAGAGTGAAATAACATTTTTGCCTGAATTGGAACACAATTCAGTGCATGTCAAGAACAGGAAGCAGTACGTAGTAAATTACAGAGTTAAAATTGCCTCCTTTGAATCCAAATGGCAAAATTTTCAGTGTTATGGCTATATGACATCAATACTTCACAGGATTACCATCTCATGTACTGATTCTCCAGTCATACTGAATCTCACTGATTTTTTTTTTTGGTTGGGTTTTGTTTTTACTGAAGAGAGGACCCTCTGTTAATGAGGTGGCCAATTCTTCAAGCTCCCAACTATTGCAGTTTATAGGGGACAGTGACCAACAGGTCAGAAGATCACAGACCATTTCATTTGGGGGCTCTTGTTTGCATTTCAGCAAGGAAAGAAGAGCAAAGTACACCATGCCTGCTGCCTATACACTCACTGGTACTGCATACCTGCAGAACCCTGGGAGCTGCAGGTTATCACCCGATCAACCCTATACAGCTCAAAGACTCTGCCTTCTATGCCAGAGGACTGCCTTTGCCTCAGTGCCTCTACTCTGTTCTGCTTCCACCTACTGCAGGAGAAAGGGCAGACCACAATTCTCTATCTCTCCAGATTAAATCATCTCAAGCCTTTTGTGCCTAATCAAACTAAAATAGCGCTGTACAGACTGCACAGTGTCATTTGTTAAATGAGAATAGTTAGAAGAGAAGGTTCATTCAATTTTTAAGCTTTTTTTTTTTTAAAAGCAATGCTGGTGGTGCTGAGGAGTGGAGCCCTGATCAGAGGGCTAGCTCTGCCCGCTGGCAGCAGGTATTACACTGCACTCTGCTGGCTGTCACACATTTTTGCTGATGCAACCACAAACCTTTTCTGCTGCAATTACAGGCACTTCTTAAGCAAAGACTTAATGAAACAGGAAAGAGAAAGGGCCCTAATAAAAGACAAAATACAGCCAAACTTCGAGCCTTGTATAGGAGAGACTGTGCAGCCACATCACACTGACAGAACTCTGGAAAAACAGACTTGTTCCCTGCTCCTTCTACTGTCGAGCCCCCATCAGCTTGCCTGTCTCATCACTGAGGGCTGGGGGTCAGGAATGCCCCCAGTCAGGAGCACACTTCTGTCCCCTCTATGTCCCAGCCAACATATCAGGAAATGTAATATAGCCATTCACAGCTGCATAAAGCAAAGTGATTCATTTAAGGAGGCATCACAGTAAACAAAGAAAAAACCAAAACCTGTTGCCAAACAAGTAGCAGCAACTAAGAAATTGAAAATGTTATTATTTTTAATTACTAAGATATACAGTAAGGCAGAAAATATTTTGCTTACTTTGCTATAAAGCAACAGGGTATCTTCATCTTGACAACCTCTAATATAGAAATCTTTTTTGTATTATGTACCTATCCATAGTTTAATTAGGTGGGACAAAGAAATACAATTTAAACAAACCTTCACATTCTCAGACATATATCAATCACTTCAACTACCAGTAGCTTTCCCTCAGAGGGTTCTTCACAGTCTGCTCTGAATCACATATCAGAAGTGAGATGAAAGATGGGATGAACCACCACCCCAGTGCAAGCTGGCAATATCTCTTCTCCTATAATTATGAGATGTGCAAAAAATATAATGAAACTCTAACCCCCTTTTCTTTACTGCTCAAGGGAGACCTTGAGCTCAAGCTGCTAATTGAAGAAGCCTAAAAGGAGCAAGAAAGAGGCACTGTATAGTAATGATAGAGCTGAATGCATGCAGAAAATGTGGTAAATTGAGCACAGAGCACCATAAAAATATGAGACAGAGAAATGAAAATGATCTAGTTACTGTATAGGCTTATGTGCCCTGGAAGACAGCGAACAGTGAGGGATGAAATTGTGTCCAGTTACTACTTTAAGATGACAAGGTGACATTCTGGTTTTAGTGCCTCAAGAATTTTTCCACTGGGATCAAGGAATACTCGTAGGAATAAATATCACACTTGCAACAGAAGGAAAAAGTTCACTCCCTGAGCTTCACTGAAGCACTAGAAACATAGCCAAGAAATTCCAAGGCCATTCTGAGCGGCTGTGGATCAGATGACACACAGCTCAGCACTTTGGTATGAACAGCTGAGAAGAGCACAGAAGTGGATAGGTAGAAAACCCCAACAGATCTACTTCCTAGAAAAAAAATAATACGCCAGATATATGTGTACAAAGATATGTATGGAAGATCCAGAGTTAATTGATACATGTTTTTATAAGAACATTAATAATATATATATATTAACCACTACCTATATATCCATTATTTTCAATACAAGAAACACCTAATATTAGTAATGTACTATCAAAATGTTCTTCCATTTCCTGCATGTAGATTTTCTGTCTTTTGGGACTGAAAATACTGCTGATGGTCAAGTTTTGAAATAAAATAGATTAGCAATAAAGAAATAAATTTAAGGTTACAAATTTCAATTTAATATATAACTTTACGGTAAATAAATCATAACTCTGGGTCTACAATCCCCCAGTATTCTTTTAAGTGGAGAAGGAAAACCTGTGGAAAAGCTGCCAGCCATCTTTAGGTGGCAAAAAGACCACACTAACAGCCAGAATGAAAGAGAAAAGGAGCAACAGTCTCTGAAGATGACAGCTTGGTTAAACATGAGGGAGCCTGCATGAATACGTACAGGTCTGGGACTAGCAAACAGTGGGTGATGATGGGTGGGTGTGGGAACCTGAGTGGGTGCCAATAAATGACTCTGTGGTATGTCTGAATAAATATGGCTGGGTCTGAACACTCCAAAAGCTGATTGTGGATGGTGTCTACATGACTGATAACCAGCACAGGAAAGAGAAAAAAGGCACCAAGGGGATGTAAGCCATTAGTACCCTTCAGCCTGATTGCTACAGATGCTCAGAAAGCAGCATCAACACCAATTCTCATTTCTTCAAAAAGCTATTTACTCCCAAAATGTCACAAAAAGAAGCTATGTACTACATATCCAACATCTGGACTCGCCGAGCAGTTGCTCATGGACACTAACCAAGGGAAATAAACGCAGTCACTCACTGGCAGGAAGTCACAAAAGTTTCATTCCTGACTGTCACTCACACATCCAGACAAAGGAGACCAATTTCCATTTCCCCTGCTGCAAGGGAGGTGATTGCAAGAGGACAACCTCCTTCTATCTTTTGACCTCCTGCTCTTAAGTCTGAAAGTAATGTAGGTGGGAAGAATCAGCTGCGTTGAGACATCTCATGGATACAGAGAGCAGGCAGCAAGTTATCTGTGGACTGGGGGTAGAAGGCTATGAGTATCTTAGAAGTACTCATAAGTACTGTTACTCCTTGAGAAGCATCCCTTAAGAAGCAACAACATAGTGATTCTTGCTGCCAGCTTCTGTACAGGGATATGCTTTTCCCATCCTGAGCTATGAAAAGGTGGACAGTTGGGCTGGACTTTGCTGCAGGTTGACAAATGCAAGGAGTCCTTTGCAAAAGCAGAAGGAACAGTGCACTTGTTTTCTGTACTAATGCCACAAGGCTGTGCTCAGGGCTGCTTTCACTGCTGACAGATGGAGACAGGGTAGAAGATGACATGTTTGGCTAGCCAAGTGTTAGCCACAAATACTCCAGCTGTTTCAGCACAGCTAATGCTCGTGTTCTGGAGAAATTAAAAGGGGGGGGCCTTGTGTCTCTGCTCTAGATATTAATTTTCTTTTTAAATACCACAGTCATGTCCTCATTTTTCTTTGGGTTTTTATATTTTTTTAAAAAAGCTTATACCAATTCACATGTAATATGCAATACTTCAGTTGTTTAGGATAGCACAGGATTAGTTTTGGGAAGCTGTTCTACCCAGGCATTTTCTATAGCACAATGTTAACATCATTTTGAAAAATAAAATAAGTTAAATTAGAATATTAAAAAAAATAAAATAAATTTACACTTCCTTACTTTTTGGAGAACAAAAATATGGAGATCAAAAAGTAAACAAAACCTAACATATAATAAAACAAATACTGATGACTGGATATCCTTGCCCTGACCAGCTAAATTTTTGCTTACCTTAAAGAGCTTCATCATGGCAAGATCATAAAATATACAAAGAATTTTCCACTTTGAATGCTGAGAACATATAATTCTAATAAAAAAGGAACTACCATTTTTTCAGCTACTTACCCCTTCTTTTCTATCTTGTAGATTGCTGGAGTTAAATAACAGAAATAACTAATTTTTCATTTCATTTTCATGATCTAATATTCAGCTACTTAGTGAACCTTCTCTAGCTTAAATGTGACTACCAACAGAGAGGTGTGCTGAATTTAACTCTTTTGCAGCCTTTGTGTGAATTTTTAATTGTATTTGATATAAAAAACATTGTGCAGAGTATATAAAACTGTTGTATTCCCCAGAATAATCTACCTGTTTATATGCAACACATGTACTCCGTATTTGCTTTCAATTCTGTACTTTGTTGGATCACTTGCAGGGGTAATCAATTCCTCGTTTTTGTACCTGACAATAAAGAAAAAATAAACTCATTAATATCAGCTACTATTCACTGCGTTAATTTAGTAGATTTTTATATCCAGATATCATTTACTAACTTCTGAGCTCTCTCTATAAATCTTCTCTACTTGCAGAGAGTATTTTCCAGTATGTATGGATATATACACATTGGGCCATGAAGGCAAAGGGGGACCACCATTGCAGTAAGAAAGTGGAAAGAGAAGATGTGCACCCAAACCAGAAGAGTAGGCAGTGAGTAGAGAGAAGATGGCACATGACTTGAACTCGCCTGTCCACTAGCCCTGACACAAGATGGGAAGCAAATTTTGTCTTGGATTGCAGGAAAGCACTTCAGCACAAACAATGGAAGCAGCAACAGGATTGTGCCTCAGGTTAGATCTTCACAGTCCAGCCTGGGCTCTCACACATACAGGACAGCACGTGTCTGGAGACGAGGGCAGCTTCAGGGATGTTACATTCATGTCCACCTCGACAGAGTGTGACACAAAGCGAACACAGATACAGCCCATGACAACAATGGTGCCATGCACATTTACCCAGGCTTAGCAAGTAGCCTGCCAGCTCTGTGTATTTTGCCATTTGCTAGTTCATCATCAAGGAACTCAATGGCTGGAAAGACTGGAATGCCTTCCACAGTCTGCCTTCTGAAATACTCGAGTTTGCTTCTCACACCGCACAGGGCCATTCAGCAAGCTGTCCTCCCACACCTTCCACTGCAGTATCAACTGCTACGATCCAGCACAGCTATGAGGATTATAAAGGGGGTTTAACATAGCCATTATGTATGTGACACTTACCAGTTATGCCATAACTTCCAAATGAAAAAAGCTTAACAACATTTTTAGAGGGCTAGGAAAGGCTGGTCTCTTACCATTGTACAACAGGGGTGGGAAATCCTTGTACAGTGAAGCAAAGGCTCACAGACATCTTTTCCCAGACAGTGTGAGACCTCAGGCGCACTAGAATTTCAGGAGCTCGACTTATCCTTTCCTCAACAGCGTGTCTTTCCAGAGCCATATTTTCTTCTACCTATTAAACACAGGAAAATAAAAAGAAGCATCTAGCTCCAGACTCAAATGGGGTAGAAGACCTAATCTTAGATCCACAAAATTACCCTTGGCCTAAATATCAGTATATCTTATAATTCTGCTTGGATAGGAACAAAAAGATTCAGCACTGTACCATCCTTTGTATAGCAAGCCTATCCAGATGTTCTCTAGCACGGTGCCTGGCTGTGTGAATCTCTTTTTCCAAAGCAGACAACTCACTGGCAAACCGGATCCTTTTCTCGTCACTTGCATGAGACTTTTGTTCATGAGTCCTGTAGGACGAGAAAAAATGTCAGGTAAGAGTAAGCAATATGAAGCTTTAAGATTGTCACTCATGCACATTAGACAACTGAGGGGTCTGAAACAATATCAGCAAGATGTAAAATCTAGTTTAGGAACTACTCTTAGAGTCTATCTGCCTATCCTAATGAGCATGTGAAATGAATATGAATTTTCCTTCATTTTCTTTCTCCCTGTATATGTGGTGCCATAGCTTCAGGTCTTGAAAGCTGGTGTGGTCACACTGATGTGGTACCCCAGAGTCTTAGTCCTCTGGTAACCAAGATCAAGAACCTACCTGGCTTCCTCTGGCCCCTAATTTTCCTTCCCATGGACACAATAAGGCATGTTCTGTGCCTGTTCACACCCTGACAAGAGTTGGGCTCTAGCACCTGGGAAGCTCTGCTAGCTCCATGGGCTCTATCAGCTGACCTCACCTGAAAGATACAGACTAAGGAGTTCACAAGGATTTGATGAACCACTGCATGCAAAAAAGCTGTCCTTGGACAAGGGTGAGTGGGAAGTATTATAGAAACTACCAGGAAAAGACAACATTTTGAGAAATTTGTGGGTTGTTCCCTGAAAATTTAACTCCATAGATTTTTCAGAATTCCTAAAATAAACCCCAAGTCATAAATGTTTTTAGTAGGAGCTACCTCGAGCTCCTGCATTCATGCTGATTCAGTAAGCAGCCTATGCTATTCTTTGCCTTGCCAACAGGACAAAAGAAGGGAGCTGAATATCAGACATTTCTAACATGACTGTCATTATAGAATATGGCAAGACTCTTAAAGCATAACCCAACATGCCATGAAGCAAATGAGAAGACCTGCAGAAGTTCAGTGAACAGTAGCTCAAGACATTATTTGTCTGGTATTTTAAAAATATTTCTTTGTATCATTTCAATGTACTTTAAACCAGCCTTGTTCTGCCATCGTTTTTTTATATTGATAAAATTTAAGACAGTTTTTTAAAAATAAATTAGAATATACAAATTAATATGATTTTCCTAGAACATTCTGTTTCTAGGATGTATATTTCAAAACAATCAAAGTACAAGAACCATATAGATGTATATGATTTTTGCAACACATTTTCTACAAACAAGGCAGAGTTTGTTCTTGTAGTATAAATTCTCTATGTCTTTGGTGCAGTCGCCGTAGAGCATGGCAGAGCAGAAACAGTCAAATTCACTAACAGGAATATTGCCGTCAGCACATTTACTATAGGATTTCATATCAAGGCTGTAACTGAGATGCGACAGTAAGCCCTTTTGATATTAAGGAAATAACTCAGTGTTTAAATTGATCCAAATCAGGAATTTAGGAATAGTGGAGTAGATCTGTTCAAAAATGAGTTTTGGATCCCAGGCAGATTCTAATTCATTTTGGTTTTAAAGCTGTTTTCAAGGGTCAGAGTGGGGATTAGGGGAACAACTCTGGGTTGAAATATGAGATTGCAAGTGACACTCAGTCATTTAGTACTCCAGCCAAAATAGATTAGTGAAGAACAGTGACAGAGAAGCCTCCAGTCTTGTCGACTCTGAAAAGAGCCCTAGCAAAAGAGCGATAGCAAATGGGACCAGAGCCACTACACAGGTCAGATGGGACCAACAGAGCTTTACCTTTTCCTGGATTCTTGCATTGCTTCATGAGCCAAGGTGCGTGCCCTCCTGGCACAGAGTCTACATGTCGTTTTTCCCAAGCCAGATGATTCATAATAAGCAGCCTGTCTGGAAGCAGCCCTTCAAATATGAAAGACACTGTTAAAACCCAGCAATTCCAGTAAAACATGAACTCACAAAAGTCAAAGAAATTACTTTAAATGAGCTGAATACCATGATTGAGCACTGTTCAGTGAGAAACCTGCTTTGCATTCCTCATTGACTGCACTAGGGTGCTGATTCTCACTTGTCCTTCAAGGGCTTAATGCCCATCATCTGTCACTGGGGATCATTAGGCATTTTATTTCATTCAGTTCTATTAAATTTATACTTGTCTCCGTCTCCAATCATTCAAATGCTAGGATAGCACTTCAGTGAACCACAAAGGTACCAGCCTGTCTAATATACAAATCACACAGAATCCCTATAACATTGTCTATTTCTAAATATTCCTGCCTTTCTACACTTCATAAAAACTTCTGCATAAACTCTTCTCTTTCATAAGGGAAGCTGGACAAGCTAGAGAGCTAGCTGGGCATCTTAATTACTGAGGAGGGAGGACAGTGATTCTTAAGCAACCAAGATTCAAAGCTCCAGGCTTTGAGGTACAAAGAATGTGTATCTTGTGGCTAAAACTCTGAGATTTCACATGAAATGAATTAAACCTTTATTTAATTTTAAAAAAGCAAATTGAATGATAAAAACTATAATTAGGAATAGCCAACTTCAGGAGAAGCAACATCCTCATGTTGTATGGAAGAACAGGTAAAAACCTGTTTCTGTGATTTACAATAAATTTCATGGCAATTTTTCTTAAGTCAGAGTTTCAATTGGAGCCTAAAAGGAAGAATTTCCAACTTAGAGGTAGTAAACAGGACAGATCCTGAGCTACAATGTCTGTGTAGGTGAGTTGCAATGTAGCTATAAAGTCCAGCTATACTGGTGGGAGACTATAGACAAGGAGCATCCCAATGGAAGGAATTGGAAAATTACCATTCTGAATAAATCACAATTTGGGGGGGGCAGAGGGGGGAGCTAAATATCTTGATTTTAAGAACTGATTACCCAAAATAGAAACCTCTCTATGCTCTGTATGTGAAATACATGGCACTTACTTTCTTGCTGCGTATTCCTCAAGTACATATCTTGTCTGAATGTTGCGATAGGACTGATCGAAGTGCTTATGCCTTCTCTGGTAAAATGGCACCGCTACTGAAGACATATTTCAGTTTGTTACAATCAGTAATTCCTGCAGAGAATGAAATCATATTTAGCCATATATTTCAGACACTTAGGTTTAATATTTTTTGATACACAGACATGTGTGTACATGTACAAATGTATAAAATTCCATCAATTTATGACAAATAGAGCCATCGCTGATATATATGGGTACCTCAGGCTGTATCTTATCAGCCACACAGTGTGAGCTATGGAATCATAGATGATAGAGCTAGAAGAGAGTTTGTCGGATCATTTTTCCCCCTTCTGTGCAGTTGTCATGTAACATCTCCACAGAAATTTCCAGGGATGGAAATTTGACAGCTTTGAGGGCATTTTTAAGTGTTTCATCTCTCCACTCTTCAAGCTTTTTTACTTCGTCCCTTGTTGAAATTAATGTTCACTGTTTCTTGTCCAATTCACCATGACAACAAAAAACGGACTATTCACCCACTTTTGCAGCAGCCTGTTGAAGATTTTGTTCACATCTCCTTTCAGCTCTCTTGTTTAAACTAAACAAAGGAGGCTCATCCAGTCTTTTTGCATAGGTTATTTTTTCTAGACTTCTAATCATTCTGGTTGCCCTCCTGTGGACTTTCTCCAAAGCATGGCATAGTTTGACCAGTATTTGGATAGAAGCTTCTCAGAAACGTTCAGGGAGCTCCCAGAAGCAGTGTGGGTGGGAAGAGCACGTTTCCCACTTAGTCGGAGTTAAGCAAATTCCCAACCATGGCATTAAAAGAACCTGGAGGTGCCCACACCCCTTTGTGCTCATTAGAAATATGATGACAACTTCTTGCAAAAGTAGGAAATGTTACCAGCCATGTCTTGAGTAGGTGCCAGCTTGTGTAACTACCGTCTGCTGAATAAGTTCCATTTACAGTCTCAGTTGGATGTGGGGATCTTTACTCCTGGGCCACTTGGCAGGATTCCAGGAGGGCAACCGAACTGCCAACACCTTCCCCAGCAGATGGCCGCGCTTCCGCAACAGCGGAAGCAATTTCCCAGTATAAAGTCTATAAAGCAGCTTGGGCCAAATCCTGAACTTTTTAGTCAGGCAAATTCCTGCAATAACATCTGATTTCCTCCTGAAAGGTAGGGAGCGCCCCGTTGTTATAGTCCCACGCGGGGTGCAGCCTGTCAGCTCCGCTCCAGAAGCTGGGGTACAGGCAAAGGCATGGCCTGGGACCCCCCCCAGGGCTACCCATGGGAAGTGAAGCAACACTAGCTCATCCAGGAGCCATATCAAGAGGGTGTCAGGGTCCTGGGGGCAGCAATGGACCTGACTGTCCCTGCCCAGCCTCCTCCAGGAGGCCTCCACCCTGCCCACGGCCTAGGACCCCACGGCAGCCCCCCAGGGCCCTGCCCAGCCATGGGCCCTGCCAAGAAGAACCTGTCCGTGATGGAAATCCTCAGCCCCACACCAAAAGCCTGCATTTGTAACAAAAAGTCCCATAAGTAGGCGGCTTCATTATGTGTAATAAAATAGAAGCTCCAAGGGATTTGAAGAGAAATCTTATAAACTCATTTAGGTACAGCATGAGCTCCTGTTACTTAATTTCAAGGGCATTGGTACTGACCAGTTTTAGGCCATGGTCTGTTTCCTATTAAATATCTGGAGATATCTGCTTTGGGGACAAAAATGAGCAATATCCACATTAAAATTTAATTAATAACTGTTTCAGGAAAAAAGTAGTTTCTGGTAAAATGAGCTCTAGCGCAAAATTGAAGGAATTCAGTTACTACGTCATTGTCAACTTTCAAATTCCATGTGATTTTTTTTGTTTCATTAATCTTTTTACTGTGTGAAAAGTACATGCAATCGTTGTACCTTAATAAAATATTGCTAAAAATAGGTTTCTATATGTTTATTACTTATTCTGAAAGCAATCATGTTTTTTTATTAATACCTCATGTTTTCAAAAATTGTTTTGCAAAATCCCCATTTGAGAATGGGAAGCAATGACAAATTTGTTGAAAAATTACAGATATTATCAAGACTTTTGCATGACTTTTTAAAGTGTGACTTGCTAACATTTTTTCTAATTGTATTACTAGCCAGAATGTATATGCAGAAGGAATCATTTTCTACATTTCATCGCAGCAATTTATTCTTGAAAAATGAGAGCTAAATTTCTTATACAACACTTCATATTTTTAGAAAGAAGAATGTAAGATGATCCAATGAAAGACTGCAATTTAGTTTAGCAAGTCACTTCATTTTATGTGTTTGTTTGGCAATTTTGCCTGAACTGTATAAAATTAAATCCAAATTAATTTTTAAAAAACATGTTTTATAGGCTAAGAAATTGAACCTTTAAACATGGTAAAATACCTGCAAATACCATATTTCCAGCATATAGTATTTACCAACAGAAGAAATGCTAGTTATTGATTAAGAAGTGTAATAAATTCCAGCTGTGTTTGTTAGTTTCAGGTATTCAAAAGCAGAGTCAGATGCCCCCAAGTCATGACATTCTTACATCAGCTAGTTTTCCAAGAAAAAGGCCTCTGCAGGAGAAGACAGTAGGTATATTTAATAGCAGATCCATCATATTGAAAAAAGTCATGAGATCTAAAGAGATGAGTTTTTACAATTTATGACCTGATAGCTGCATCTTCTGCATAACCTATAGTTACCTTTTCAACACTTTCTCAAGAGATACAAGAATGACAAGTCACACGTTTGGGAATGAGAGCTCGGCAAATTACCAGACACTGCAAGACAAAAATAAAACAGGTTTACATCATTATTACGGGACATTAAAGAAATATATTGCCACATTTCTAGAGAAATAAGAAAGTTAACATGACCCAAGTTAATACAGCACGGTGCAGGACCTGGCAGAGACGCTAGCTTACCTGGGTGCCCACATGCAATGCTGAGCTGGCAGGGACCTATTAACTCATCACACGACACATTGTCTTAGTTACATGAACACGGTTACACAGACCCATGAGCAGCCTTGGCTTCTCCTAGTTTTGGTATCTGTACATGACATTATGCTATACCTGCAGACATCAAACACTGGTTTTCTTCCTGCTGTCTAGCTGTGTGACTATTGTGTATATGACATTTGACTTCCGCCTTAGTTCATACATTAACTGGACAGTTAATGGTATAATGTTCCCTCTTTTCTATTTTTAATTAGCCTTTTCACCTAAATGAAGGTGCAAAGGGCAAACCCATAGATTAACCTGACTCAGCTGTTAAGTGCTACTCATGTTTACATGTGGCCCAGTTAAATAAGTCTGTGAATTTATCAACATGCGATTTACATGTTGCTATGTATATAACTCCCACTGAGATCTGACATATAAGGGTTGCAGAGTATGGATGTATGGATGGATCACAGTCTGGATTATTTTCATTTCTGAGATAGGAGAAAACATCTTTCTCATTTACAGTTCAGCCTTTTCCACTAAATATAAAACTTACATTTTGATTAGCGTATCTTCTTTTATTAATCAGCACCCAGGGTTTCTCAAAATTTGGGTTCAGATATTTTTCACATTTACTCAAACAGCCTTAGAATAGAAACAAGTGTAGCCATCCACTCCCAGCCTCCATACAAGCAATTAACTGAGTTTGTTAGCAGCCAGACTCATTTTGCCTTCTGTTAACACAGAGGGGAGCTGCCTGGCAACAATTCCAAATGTAATAATCATCATCAGTTAATTACAATGATGCTTGCAGGGTATGTATTTAGTACTTAATAGTGCTGCAAAGACAAGTATTGGAAGAGCAGAACACAGCCCCACTGTAAAACCAGCTTCAGCAGAGTCTACAGAGCATGTAGTGTATCTTGAGTTCATGATAAGAGAAGTTTCTATTGTCTTCCTAGGAACAATGTGTTGACTCTGTTCCTAGTTTTCCATGGATACACATTTATGCGAGGTGTCTGAAATATATACTAATATTTAGTCAACATACCACTAATAGTTAGATAACATGATATGCACATGACAGCTTAGCCCCATTGAAGTTATCAATTTAGATGAACCAAGATTTTATTACCGGCAGTGGCTGGAGACCTAATTATACTGGCAAGTCAATTGGTGGCAGTAACTCAAAAGCAAGATGCAGGCAGTGGTCTGGCAGAGGCACTGGGGAAAAAAATCCCAAAACATTTCCCAATGAGAAATTGAAAATTCAACAATAAAAAAATGCATAAATAGGCCAAGAGAGATATAAATTAATCTTCTGGATACTTTTAACAAAATAAAAAGTAAATCTCAAGTTTTATTCACCAAGTTCTACTGGTATGGGACTGCAAGAGTTACAGAGAACTTACTGAAATATATGGTCTGTGTGTCACAACTGTTGAACTTCATCCATGCAGATGCTATTAATGGCCCTCAATTTCAAGAAAAAGACCTAGAGTTACAGGACAAGATGGTCCCAAAACTTTTAGTCTCTCATCCAACTTTTACTTTTTTGGTGGAACACATTGCCATTGTATTCCTACCCTTTATTATTATTATTATTATTGTTGTTGTTGTTGTTGTTATTGTTATCGTTATCATTATTCCTATTTATTTCTATGACTGTAAAAGCTGAGGATATCAGAAGGACCTAAACTGCACTAATCTATGTGCTGTATAAACCACTCAGAAGACTATTAAACCCAAACAAAAATATTAAGTCAGCCAAAATGTCTTTAAGGATTAATGATGTAAAACACAGGGAATTACACTGTTAAATCAGTTTACACAAATACACATTTCCACATGCATAGCAGCATGTATATAACAATTTATACTTGGTCATGAGTAAAAGACAGAGTTCCCAGGCCAGGATATGCATAGTTTCATGCCATAGTAATACTGATCTGAATAGAAAGCAATAATCTAGGACCACGTGACAAGGGGCCACATTCTTGAGCAGAGAAGCCAAGGGTCTGATATAGACATTGTTAGTTTGATAAGTGAGTTAATTTAAGATTTAAAGGACAGGCAGTAAATTGTAGCATGATCATTCACATAGCCTCGGAGAGCAGGCACACAACCAAATAAATTGATGGATGGGATTGACAAATGCCACAGCAAGAACATGGTTGTGCTCACCATAGATAGACAACTTCCATTCCCAGACTCAGGAGGCTCCTGTCATGAGCAATGTACTATACAGCATGTACTTTCTCTGCCTGACCTGTCAATGCTACACCATGCAACATGCACTTTCTTTGCTCATCTCTGTCCTTGTCCATCTGCAGAAGTGCCAAAAACAATTTGCAGGTTCTTGCCTGCCCTCACGTAGCCTATCCTCCACATTCTGGCTTAAAGATGAGTACATCCTGCTCCTACATGCATATCTTCATTCTTGGTCTTCCTCTGTATCTCATCTTTCTCAAATATCTTTGACCTTTTTTATTGACTTGAAGGTTTGTCCTGTTTTTCCCATGACGTAAACACTGTTTCCTCTACCTGTCTGTAGTTCTGCTTGTTGTTCTCAACATTGTTCAAATCTAAGTGTTTTTAGGAAGCCCTGTTTTGCCAACTTATACTTTCATGTTACATTAAAGCCTGTGATATTTATCTGATAAAATGTATTTAATTCCATATCACCTATATACCACCACCAAAGATAAAAGGAAAGAAAAAGAAAAAAAAAAAAACCACCACCCTTCTAGTCATCAGTTGCTTCTAATGACCAGTTTAAAGAATTACCATATTGCTTCAGAAAACATGTGGTCCTTTCCAGATGGTTATATCAATCCTGTAGAAATTGCAGTAGATAATAACATAAGAACGTTTTCCCCCAGGAAGCTTACTTTGGTGGAAATCTTGTAAAACCAGCATGAATCATTATGCAGCTCATAGACACTGCATCTAAAACAGAATGGGATGTAGAGGGTCTGGTAACATCTTCCCCATTTTGGTAATAAAATTTTAAAACACTAATATGTCTCTCCAGTCTTTTATCTCTGTGTGCATGTGTGTATTTAGATCTCACACAGAAAATTATGTTTGGTGGATGAAAAATGATGAACTTAAAAAAACACACAATCTACTGTCATTTTAAAATGCTTCTGTCTTTCCCATTGAAGAGTTTTTTCCTTTTGCATAATAAGAATTCAGTTTTAACTTTTCTGACAACAGAATACAAATGCTTCAGAAATTAAGAAAGCATATGGAATTCTCATTTGCATAAACCCTGTGGAATTCCAGACATTACTCAGCAAGCTTTGAGATTCCCTGTCTTTTCTTTTCTTATGTCTTTAGCTACATTATAGCTGGTCATACATTTTACTGATCATAACTCCTTTGCATGGGAATAGTATTATCCTAATTTCACAAATCAATTTTAAACAGAAATCTTGTTGAGAACAAGTTCAGTCTGGTTCAAATCATCCCCAGAAGTGCGTGCATTGCTTTTCTCATTAAACCTAAAAATTGAGTTCTCTCATCTATTGCTAGTCATCTGAATATCCAGCAAAGCAACATTTTCAAGCAGCTGACAATACTGGCCATCACAGGCATGTCTATTCTTTATTAGCAAATTCATATGTTTTGAATGAGTAAACTTTTAACATTTCACTACATCAAATGATTCTGCTTGCAAAGACATAGAGGTAGATTAAGCAATTTAATGCAATCGTTTGGCTATGGCACATGTATGATTAGTGAGAATGCACACTTTGACCTTGTAATAGTCCTTGAATGGTTTGCTTCACCCACTAGCCGTAACGGTTAGAGTGGAGGCAATTTGGAATATTCCATGGGTGGTCACGGTCATAGCCACAACCCTTGACAGAGTTAACCATCAGTTTTGCTCTGTGGCAAGTAGGTAGAAGGCAGAGCCACGGGTACCCTTCCCTCCAGCAGGGTCATTGCTGTGCAGGGGAGCACCAGTTCCTGCATTGTTGTAAGTCTAAAAAAATGTAATTTCAGCTTTTCTATGACTCTCATGATGGAAGGGAGTGGAAGCCTCCAATGTGACTTCTCTTGCCATGTCCCTGTTATAAGCTAAGCAGTACATAGCCCAGAGATGGTACTTATGTAGATGCTTTCTTATGAATTCATGATCTTACACGACTGGGAATTAAATGAGGCTGAATTTGTCCACATTGACTTGAAACCTTGCCATCCTAACATTCCAAATGCACAAAGAGTTGCAACATGTTCCCACAAAAGTTTCAAGGTTTCCCTCACTTGGCAAGTGTATTACATCCCTTCAAATGGACAGCAAGCCATGTGAGGCAGTGAGATGGTGAAAGTCACTTCCCATCATCCTAACCTTCACTATCCTTCATCATGATACTCTCATTGGCTCATAGGTATTATCAACACACAGGTGTAGTCTCAAGAGCATGAACATGATTTCCCAACACTCTGTGAGTGGTATTTAGCTGGAATTTTCATGTGGCACAGAACACATCGTGTAGCTTACAGCAATACAGACACCAGAAACGTATCTTCTGAAGACATGTACTTGAAAGTATGGTAAACAAAAAATAAAAGTAGAATTCTCTGTCCTAGCTACATCCCATTCTTCAGCATGCCAAATAGTTTTGCCAGCTACTATAGGATTTTATGCTTAATTATTTACACACATACTTCAGATAAATCATGTTTTGTCTCCTTATACAGTATAGCACACAAGAAGGTGGCATTGCCAATATATGTGCAATTGGAGAAGCACATATACCAATAGGCTATGGATTGGTATAATCAAGTTTTTATATACAGAAAGAAACAGAAGAAATGTAATACACAATAAAATCAGGCTGACTATGCACAGAATAAAACAATTCAACTTTAGTTTTTTGTTTGTCTTTTCATAAATCAGTCTGCGTCATGCTTATTGCTTGTTTTTCCCAAGGAAGGTAATCCATTTTTTACAGAAAAGCACCCAATATCCTCCCACAATCACTCCTATTTGTTCTGAACAAGAAAAACCTAGATAAAAAATGGACTTACCAAGGGATATAGAAAAACTGCAAAGCAGAGAGGAAGACCAGCCTTTCCCAGCTTAGCAAACTCTGGCTGAGGAAAACAAAAATAATTCCCCTCTCTAAAGGCTACTGCCCCTTCACTCCCATTTAAGGGCAGATGCAGTGCTATATTTAGAACCAACCAAGTGATTCTCCCAAAACTGAGGTCAGCCTAATAAGCAATATGGCTGGACTATAAAGGCAGAAGAAAAGCTCTATCCCATATGCAGTTTTATACTCTATTTTAATAAAAGATAGACCTCTTTCCTAACAAAAAACGGTTACATTAGAAGTGGGGTTTCTTTTCCCAGCAACACCAAGCACATGGGGAACAGTTTAATGTCAGAAAACAGTTTAAGCTTTTTATTTAGAAATGATTGAAGTTTTAAAATAATCAGTAACTTTGAAGACCGGTGAGGAGATATAAACTGCAGAATCTTATTAGTAGAGACATGAGAACCCCTTGGTGCCTCAGGCTGTAAAATGAGCCTCCCTGTTGCCTCCTTAAGAGCTCCCTGGATTTGAGAACGTGGCTGCAATATGTGAAAGCATAGCAACTGTATAAAAAGCCTGTTAACATAGATTTAAAGAAAGTCCAGTTCCTACTCACTATTTCCATCTCCATAATGTCACCAGTCAACCTGAGAGAGATTTCTCTGTGTCTTGTAGATAAAGTAGGAGGAATTAATATGTATAGAGACATATACAGGCAGAGGAAAAAGCACAGCCAAAGAACTTGATTCTGTGAGACCCTGATGGTCCCTGATTACTACCAACTAAAATGGAGATTTGGTGCCTGTAGGGCTCCTAGTTTTCTATCCAGAAGCTCCAAGGCACCACTGTGGTGGCTCTGACATGTCCAGATGCAATGGGGTAGCAGCACTTGCTCTGCAGAGCTCGTGAGCATGGGCTCAGTCCCTCTGCCCCGTTCTGGTGGCATGCAACCCCGTAGGGATTTGTCCCATGACATGAGCCCATATGGGGGAAGGGAAGGAAGGGTAGGAACTCTGACAAGGCTTTGTGACAAGCGTGAAGAAATAATCACATTCCTCTCATTCTGTCTGGAAATAAGACAACGTGTCTGGGAAAACCTGGCTATATGGCAGACCTAATCACACCTCATGACTTGGCCCATAATGACTCAAATCCAGTGAGTCAGCAACATACAATAAGTAGGGAACTCATTGATGTTCAAAGTATTTGAAAATAACAAGATCTATTTTCAATTTACTTATGTAGGAATGGGGTCAAGACCAAAGTCACTAAATGACAATTGAGATCTTCCAGTGCTTGCTATAAGAAACTTTGATACATGAACAATGCTCTTTAAAGTAATGCTTTCTTCTTATGCATATACATATGGGAAGCAAAGCAAGATGTGGAAAAGCCTTTAACCTCTTACCACATCCACAGTATTCATCCAAGTTTCCTAAATAGCTCTGGTAAGGATCTTTCCTACTTTCTTATTGTCTAGGACTACCATTTGCTTGACACAGACTTCTCCCTCCCTCCCATTGATCTTAAATTATAACTCAGTCCAACAGAATTAGAACTACAGACAGACACAGTGGAATGACTGCATATGCACCAAGCATAGATGTTGCTTCAGAAGCAGCTGTCAAAGTAATTAGCATGTAATAATCCAGAGCAAACCCACTTTACTTACACAGCTCCTTCTCTTCTCTCCTATTGCATTTTCCTGTGGGAGGTAAGAGGTCAGTTTTCAGGAAAACTTTAAAGTTCTCATTACACTCTCTGCTTTTAATTTCTTGTTCTACATTTATTATCTTTAAAGAAATGGAGGAATGTACAGCCTGCTCTGTCTGCATTTACACTTGAGCTGTCTTCTATTTTAAGTTCTTTCTTCAGGGTGTGGTTGGATGTCAAAAATGTGAAAGTGCATCCTGAGGGCTGTGGGGAACATGCCATAGGCAAGAACAAGCCATGCAGTGGGGCCAGTCCCATGTTGCCTCCAGGTAAATCCTTCTCTTCATAGATATTCACAAAACAGGATAGAAGGGAAAACTGCAGTATTGTATTATTCAGTGGTGTTGAAATTCAGGCAGCAGAGCACCAAAAATTATCCAGCATTTTAATAGTAAAATAATTTACATTACGTTCCCAAACAAACTTCCTCCCTGGCACTGAAGCCATCTTCCCCTGATCCCTCCACTTCCCAAATAGAAGTTCTTCCCTAAGAGGTGCCTTTTTAAAGCAGAGATTTAGCAGGGTATCAAAAGGATTATTCAAGCACTTAAAACTGATCATGTGCTAAAATCCTTTTGTGAATGTGGTATTTTAGAATTACCTTTTTATCTTATACCAGTCCCTTGATGCGGGCTGTTTAATTGATACAGGCTTAAGTAATGGCCCAACTACTCCAGTAAAGGGGAAGACAAAGACCTCAAATGGAGCTCAGAAAAAAGATGCATTAGCTTTTTAGCTACTGGAGGAAACATCAAAACAGCAATGAAATGAAATGTAATGCTGTTAGTAGAGGTGTGCCTCTAGCCTGTAAGTGTGCCTTAATAGCAGCCTTGTGCTTTTCACTTTCTCCAGTTCCAAGAAAACCTAATGCATCTTTGTTAGTATGTTAGCTCTTGTTTTCCTCAAATGCTTGTAGCATATTTATAGTTTCATATAAATTAAAAGATTGGTAACTAGCAATGAAGTTCCTCATCTCTGCAGCAGTCCTAATTATTCACAAAGCCTTGTGGTAAGGTTTCTAAAGCCATGCTAGAACAATGGCTACTGTGCGCTGGTGATCATAGAGCAGTCTCTTGGATTTCTTTCACAGCTGCCCAGGTCCTAGCATCTCCCTTGGCATTACAAATGAAAGACAAAACAATGCATGCAAATTCAACCATACAAAAAAGAAATCATGTTCTTTCCTCAGTTACTGCCTTTGGTCAGAAGTTCAGGATTATCAAGTACGGGGTCCATACACGTACCAAATAGAATGTGTCTTATTCAAAAGAGAATACGACCACCTGACAGACTTATTTCAAAGCGATTTTGGAGGCAGTGCACCTGCTTATGAAGATTATCTAACAAGAGAGCAGTAACACACTTGACTGCTGACAGCACTGTAAATGTGTTCATGCAGCTGAGCACAAATCCCCAAGGGAAAACACACTTAATTGCCTCTTTCAGGTGGGGAGACAACAGCCCCATCCCAGCTCCTAAGTTTAAACACTTCTCTCTCTACCTCCTGCTTTCTGCTTATTTTCATTTTTCTTGATGTGTTTTCTCTTCCTCTATTAGAACCTTTTTATTTTCTTTTTCGGCACCCAACTTGCAAGTATTTTAAGGTTGGTTACACGCAGATGGAAACTGCCAAAAGCTAAAGCTACTCCTCCCAGAAATGAGGATAGTCTGTGTGGAGATGAAACCACAGGAGAGCCAAGACATTTGGAGAAGGAGAAGGAGGAGACACTTGCAACCAAAAGAAGACTGTGCAGCTCCTGGAAGAGAGGACAAAGGCAGCTAAAAAAAAAAACAAAAACAAAACAACAACAACAACAACAAAAACAGAAACAGAAAAACAAAACCACTTAGTAGAAGCTGTTTTAAACAGCCAGTCAGGGATTTTCAACTGGCACTTCAACAGAGCTAGACTGAACTGCATCCAGAACATCAGACACTTCTAGTACGAGCCTTTGAACAAATACTAAAAAAATACTAAAATACCTGAATATATAAAATGTTGGTATTTTTTCCCTGCAACCTAAGATAAAGTGAATCTCTTAGTAACTATCCTTATTTATATCTAAGACAAGCACACCATTGAGTTACAGTGAGTCAATCATTTATAAGATATTTAAACACTAATGTGTCACCCTGCTGTCCAGGGACCCACTCTAGAGCACGTCAGAGTCAGTGGTAAGATTTTACTGACTCAGGAAAGCTCTGATTCATATCCTTCTTGATTTAATGCCCCTTTAAAAAGTTGACAGAGGGTTAGCTCAGCCACAAACAGAAAATACAGGGTTGCCTGGTGCAGCAGAATGTTTCAGCTACTATTTTGTGAGTTACTGCAAGTGGTAACAAGAGTAGATTTTCCACTGCTTTGGACAGCACAAAATACTCTAGAGCTGGTAACAGGCTGACAGTGATACTTTAATAAAAATTGGTGTTTCAGCCAGTGCAAATACTTAGCTAAATATGTTTTCCTAAATTTTAAGGTGAGCCAAGCAAATTACAGTCTCTCACCAGTGACGTGAAGTTACAGCTCAGATTTCAATTTATTTATTTTATTTTTTTTTTAATTTAATGAAATCTTTTGGAAGTGTTTCTGATAAACCTTAACAAAAACAACAGCACTTATTACAGTTTACTGACTGTAGTTAGACAAACCATACCACAGGAGACTCCACTAGCAGTCTATCAGCTCAGTGACACCTCTTCATTTACCATTACAATGAGATCTATTTTTCAACCAAGTGCAAAGATAAGGACCATAATTATTTTTGTCTTACCCTACTATATTTGAGTGTCACACAATACACCTTGCAGATATCCACTGTAGCAACAGTTACCTCTATCAACTAATCTCAGTGTCAGCAACAACAGATTAAATCTCAACACAACCACAGGCTGTAAGAGGGCAAAGACAGGAACTAGTTACAGTGCAGTCATGTGGCCCAGAGGCCTCACCACCCTGGGAAATGCAGCTGAGGCAGCTACAGGCCCAAATCCACCACTGGGTAGCACCATGCAAAGTCTATTTTACTGCTTTCAGGCTTTAGTATCTGCCAGCTGTGGGGGTTACTGCTCTTAACAGCACCTACATACAGGACTGACACCAGATGTAAGCACAGACAGCCCAATCACAGAATCACAGAATGGTTGAGATTGGAAGGGACCTCTGAAGGTCGTCTTGTCCAGCCCACCTGCTCAAGCAGGGCCACCTAGAGCTGGTTGCCCAGGACCATGTCCAGATGGCTTTTGAATATCTCCAAGGATGGAGACTACACGACTTCTCTGGACAACTTGTGCCAGTGCTTGGCCACCCTCAGAGTAACTGAAAAGGGTTTCCTGATGTTCAGAACCTCCTGTGTTTCAGTTTGTGCCCACTGCCTCTTCAGCTGGCAGAGACTGAAGGTCACTAGTGCAGGCACACACACACAACACTCTCTAGGTTCACAAGCACACTCACACATTTGCTGTCTGGTCACCTACTCTCTCTCTGGTCTGGGTCGGTGTTGTAGTTTAAGCCCAGCCGGTAACAAAGCACCACAAAGCCGCTCACTCACTCTTCGCTGCTGGCTATGGTGGGATGAGGAGAATATAGAAAGAAAGGATTGTGAGTCAAGACAAGGTCTGGGAGAGATCACTCACCACTTATGGTCATGGGCAAAAGACAGGCTCAACTGGGGGAAGAAATAAAATCAATTTATTA